CATGGGTTTTTTGAAAAACGACGTTTCGAGCAACACTTCCAATTTTTCATGAACTGGAAATTTGCAATTTGCATTTGCAATTTTCGTTTTTTCATAACGTCGAGCATTTACTGAAAAAACGACCGGACTTCATGCAGAAAACCAGTGATCATGCACCCGGATGTCCGTGCGGCTCTATAATGCACCACCTTCATCCCAACTGATGCTGTTCCTCCTGCATGCCGGTAAGGATCAAAACACGGCCAATATTAGCCCAAGTGTTAGGCTACAGCCTAGGGGTTATTCCTGCTAATAGCGATCTGCGAGTTTGGTGCAAAAACGCATGATCGCACCGGAGAGCCTGGTGCTTTTCAGCCTGGGTTTAGTTCAGTTTCTATGTTCTGACAGGCTTTGATACATGGCATATACCCGGGGATTTAAAATGGCCACCAGCTTTCTTCCAAGTAACCCAGGTTTTGCCATTGACCATCTGGTTAGCGGAAAGCTGCTGCTGTTCGGGTATCTTCCGAGTGCCTCCATCTTCCGCAGAGGTTTGGGTCTGGAGGAGATTCTCATCTCACCTCATTTCTCTGGTGACTAACTGAGGTATCCAAAGACCGATAGTCGGCATAGATGTCTTAGTATATCGAGAGCTTAACAAGTGACCCTGGACAGTACTGGAATGTTTTCCTTTTGCGTATTATTCCCAATTTTTGTCGGAAATTCCCCTGCTCGAAGGGAGAGAACTGTTCGGTTTATGGTTTTTGTGCAGAGAACAGCACTGCGACTTTTTGAGAAGTTGTGAAGGCGTGAGTTCTTTACTGGATGGTCTTGGTTTTTCTTCACTTTAACGGGTAGTTTGATTAAGTTGTTATGTGATACATTTTTTCATCAAATAGGACATGCTTTACTCCGTACAAAGGGTTTGTTTTTTAGATCTCGAAATTTTATGACAAGAAGGATAGGCGCATTTTTTGGTGTATACAGTAAGACGTTGGAGTACCCATTCACAGTAAATCATGTAGGGTATCCAGACAGTGACATAGACCAAACGGTGCAAGAAGGTGTTATTATATAGCAGCTACTTCGTTGTGCATGTATATGCAACCTTCCAAGGGAATTCTACAACTGAGCTGGACAGCTTATAAGCATCTGTAGACATAAAAAGTTTGATATTGCCAAAATTGAGCGCTCCGCCCTCAGATTCTGCTTCGCGAACCGATCAGTACTCAGCAAATTCATTTTCTTTAATGATTCTGGAACTAAACGTCTAGTCAGCGCGCTACTCGCATAAAAAAGAGTTTCCTCATAATTGACAGATAATGATTATCCGTATGATGGGTTAACTTTCTCTTCTTTCTCTTCCCTTTTACCTTCTTTGTTCTCTGTCTGTTTTCTCTTTCTTTTGCGTATCCGTGCTGCGGATTAGTCACATGACTATTCATTATTTGGTGGGAGGAGGCTGTACTGATGATTCCCGCTCCTGCCTGGATGCAAAGTTCGGTTTGTGTTTACAGTTAAGGGATGAAACATAGACTGCATCGTAAAATGCCTTCTTACACATGACACTTAGTCCAGTCCCTCTATTCTACTATTTCATGCAGCGCGAAGTTCCACGCACTTTAAGGGATGTACGGGATTCGCTTTGCTACCTAGTTACATGCGGATAGTACCTGTTAAATGGGTTTATTTGCGATGTACAGGATACATATTTTATTCTGACGGCGGAGGTCTTTTCTAAGTTCCTGTTTGTGGACATTTTATTGAGGGAAACTGATACGGAAATTAAGCATATTAAAACGAATATCCGAATGCTGTAAGATCTTCGGGCTGTCCTGCACTGGCCTTCTTTGTCTGGAGTTTTCCGTAAATCAGTACCAGTTAAACCACTGAGATTCAAGCCCAGAATCACTAGAGCACAGATTGTTTATTCCTGGATTAGAACAGATAAAAACTAGCGTAATCTTATATATTGTTTATATCATTTCGTTTTTTTCTGGAATATTTATTTGCTACGAATCCATTGTTGCTTTGCAGGTGATGGTCGCTGTGTGATCTGTGATTCATACGTACGTCCGTGTACATTGGTTCGAATTTGCGATGAATGCAACTATGGATCATATCAAGTAAATTACTTCTTTTATACCTGTAACTTCTAGCATTCCAATAGAAATGGACGCCTATAGTTGCTGGTAGGACGTAGCGCCTTTCAGAGCACCTAAAATCGAATTGCTACTCTCCTAGGAATTTTGCAGAAGTGTCTGGAATGCGTGGAACATGACTCGAATCTGCATTTATGCAGC